TTGTTGTTGTTGTTGTTGTTGTTGTTAAGTCCGCGTTTTACTAGTCCGCGTTTTACTAGTCCGCGTTTTACTAGTCCGCGTTTTACTAGTCCGCGTTTTACTAGTCCGCGTTTTACTAGTCCGCGTTTTACTAGTCCGCGTTTTACTAGTCCGCGTTTTACTAGTCCGCGTTTTACTAGTCCGCGTTTTACTAGTCCGCGTTTTACTAGTCCGCATTTTACTAGTCCGCGTTTTACTAGTCCGCGTTTTACTAGTCCGCGTTTTACTAGTCCGCGTTTTACTAGTCCGCGCTTTACTAGTCCGCGTTTTACTAGTCCAGTCCAGTCCAGTCCAGTCCATGAAATACCATATGCCTCTTCGGCGGCATCAACTTTTTAAATGACGTTTTTCACCGTCATACATGTTAGAATTAAAGACTATTTACTGATATGGATACTACGATAGTTTGTTGTTCGCACATGATTCAAGATGGAACTTTGAAAGCCCTAATTAATAAGATGGAAAAAGATATCAAAGGGATTCCGCAACTACGAGGAAAATAGCATATTTTTCAAATATGAAAAATGATCCGGGCGCGCAAGGCATCTCGGTTGGAAATGGGCCTTTAAATAAAAAGATCGCTAGAATAGAGCGACATATTTATATCTTACCCAGTTTATCTACCACTGTCGACCAAACAGGGAAAAAGTAACAGAGATTACAATACATCACTTTTCACTGTGAGAAGAAATATTTATAACATAGGGCGCCTGCTCGCCTTAATTTAGTCCTGTACGCCTTTATCACACAGCAGCCATCTTGGATTGACGTCATGTACTTTTGCCACCAATGCGAGGCCACGCATGTAAAGGTGAACTTTTGACCAGAGAGGATTCGGGACCATGCCGAACAGAGATCACTGTTGCGTACCGCAATGTCAAAATAATCGCCCAAAACACATTCCAAATCTTACCTTTCACCAATTTCCGAGAGAATAATCCCTTCGAAAGCAGTGGGTTGTCAAAATTCGGCGAGATGTGGGTAAACCTTTCAAGGTAAGTTGGTGAGGTTATCGATGTAATAATGCGCACTGGTATTTACAATATCTAATTCATCTCAAGATAACCAACAGCACAAGAGTATGTTCTGAACACCTTAAAGAAGCAGATTTTAAGAAAACCTTAGCTGGGAAGCGTGTTCTGAAGAAGCATGCAGCTCCGAGTATTTTTTGCTGGTCAAGATCACCCACAAAAAGAAATTCTCCGAAAAAGCCAGAACCCCTGCGTGCACGCGTGCGATTATTTGATGTAAGCGTGTCATCGCCCCCAGCTGTCACCATAATAGGTAAATATTGTTTTCGGTATCGTTTTAAACATTTCCTGGTAAAAATCTTCGACATATGATAATATTAGTTAATTATATGTTTTCCATATCAATCCATAGCATCAACCTCCAGCCAAGCTTCTAATGAGGGAAATCTAATGGAGGTCCAACCGGACCCTCAGGAACTCTCATCCTGTTCATCCTCTCCAATTGTTGTAGACTCCCCCGAGCCTGTGTACACACCAACCTTGAATTGCCATGACTACATTTTTTCTGGTGAGCCTGCCAAGACCACAGAGGAGCTGCTTGAAGCAGCTCATCAGGGAATTGAGGAGTTGGAGGCAGCAGTGGAGAAGCAAACAATATATAAGCAACTAAAATAAAACCTAACAGCAGCGTTAAGTTTTATACAGGGTTTCCTTCTTTCGATATTCTTGTTGCTACATTTAGAGCTCTGAGTCCCACCACACAGAATATGTATTCTTGGTCCCAAATGCAGCGCCCTAGAAAGAAAGGAATCACTGAGGTTGAGGGCGTTAAGCAAACTATGCAAGGTTGCAAACTAAGTTTATTTGATCAGTTCTGTCTAGTTCTTCAAAAGGTGAGGGTTGGTACTTTAAACCAAGTGTTAGGTGATAATTTCAATATTTCCCAAACAATTGTAAGCAGGGTTTTTATTTATTGGATAAATTTTCTTTATTTCATGCTTGGGAGTATTTTTATATGGCCTTCCCGGAAAAATATTCAGAAGCACATGCCCACTTGTTTCAAGTCTCTGTACCCAAACTGCAGGGGTATCATTGATGCATCTGAGATAAAGGTCCAAGCACCATCAAGTTTAATGTTAAATGGTGCAATGTACTCATCGTACAAAAGCCATACCACCAATAAGGGAAATGTTGTTATTTCACCATCTGGGGAAATAATTCACATCAGTTGTTTATTTGAGGGGTCAATATCAGATAAAGAGCTGGTGAAGCAATCTGGTCTTTTGCCATTGCTTCAGCCTGGGGATCAGATTATGGCTGATAAGGGCTCTGTTATACAAGATCTACTCACACCTCTTGGTTACAGTGTAGTGATGCCATCATTTTTAAGCAGCAACCAACAGTTTTCCAAATGTGAACTCCAGGAGAGCACAAAAATTCACAACCTTCGAGTGCATGTTGAAAGGGCCATAAGGAGAGTCGAGGAGTTCCATTACTTTGATAGGGTAATCCCACTGACTATGGCAGGCAGTATAAACCAGATATGGACAGTGTCACGTCTAATTACAAACTTTCAGGGACCTTTATTTTATGAATAACTTTAAAAAATAATGCTCACTTGATTTTAAGGGGAGGTGCCTATACACATTTGTTCAAAAGTGTTATCTTTCTATGCTATCCTTTTTTTTTTCTAGAGATGTTTATCCTGAAGGGAGCCAAGGGGAAAATGTTGAATTTCACAGACAATAATAAGATGTACATGTTAAAATTAACGTTGGAGTTGAATCACATTCTTTTGCTATCTTATTGCACTCAGGTAAACAAGGTTCTAAGGCACACAGAGGATTGTTACAAGTAATTAAACATATTGCTGATAATTTTAAAGCCTTTTTGGCTCAAAAGATATTACAAATATGTATATACTGTTTACTTTCAACATTTGGGCTTAAGATTAATTCACCTGACTAAGATATGAGATAATAAAATCTTTAGTTGTTCACAGTAAACATACTTTTTGAAAATGGCAACTCAAAATCAATCTATAAGAAGGTGACATACATACATACGCACACCCAGTCGTGGCACTTTTCCTTTGACACAATACAAAACCATCCTTATGTCATTAAATCCCCCACAAAAATATTAATTCATTAAACACAAGCATTAAGATGACTGTCAAAATAGAAGAGGTTGAGCTTTTCAATCATCTCTGAGAAAAAGATGGGATCAAAATAAATTCTTTCACAGTGAAACTCGCCCTGACAAAAGACAAACAAATCCTCCCAAAACCTGCCTTATATATCCCCTTGTCAATGTCTTCTCCACTGGAAGGTTTTCAGCAGCCATTTTTTCGACTAAGGCATTCGTGAACAACGGTATGTCCCCCAGATTGCGGTGCCAAAACTCTAAAG